GGCGGCCGCAGCCGGCCCTTCGCCGAGCTTGCTCTTCCAGGGCTTGGGCGTGAAGCCATTTTATGTAATGCAGTCAGCACGCTTACGTGTTGGCAGAAACGCAGGCCCGTAGTTTCAAGAGCCTGCTGGCGGTAATTTTATATCTTCGACTCTTGCAAATAATTTAAAACCGAGTGTGGCAAATGGGCTGCTCTTTGTCGCCGCGTCGAGCGGGCAGGTGTGCGCGCCAAGAGGGGTGGTGCGGCAGGGCGGTCAGATGTGGCAGGATCCTGCCTCGACATCCCCGTGCGCTCTAGAAAACAAAACCAGTACCAGCTTCACCAAACAGCGGAGGCAGTGCCAGCAATGCCGCTCCTGCCGTACCCTGCCTTCCACGTTCCTGTTGCCGCCTCCGGCCGAGGGAGCGAGACTCAGGTATCCGTGGCAGTCCAGGCCCACGGAAGAGCTGTGAACTTGTTGGCAAAGGATGTGGCTCAAAAGAAGTGAAAGAAATGCTCATTTCTCGTCCCATTTTTGTCACTCAGGCCTTATTAGCCCCCGAGCTAGAGTTTCACAAGCGGCACTGTCCACCTGGATATGTCTTAGGGTGCCTAAAACCTTTAAAAAATGGTGTATGTGAAGGCATATCATCAACATACAGTTGGGCTTCTGTCTAGGGAGTAGGTAAATTGGTTGGAAAGCAGTATGTAAAGTTATGACTGAGTCAGATCAAAGAAAAGGAAATTCTTGTCTCGGCTTGACTGCTTTCTGCACAGCGAGCCGTGGAGATTCCCCATGTTCCCCGCGAGCTTGGGGCCGGGCCGGTGGTGGGGGGACAGGGTAGCGGGACGGCTCTGGCAGAGATCCTCCAGCCGTTCTGTGGCGCTCCCGGAGGCGCGGCGGCCTGCACACGTGGAGTTTGTAGGGTCAGTCTTGGTGTTTCCTCTCCCTTACAACAAAGGTTGTAAAATGCAGGGCTATAGTGTCATTTCTGAAGCTAATTTTAAATCCTGGGTTTTTTACTCACTGGTGACTGGGCTGTGATTTGAACTAGCAAGGGTTGTTGTTTTTTCGTAGTTTTTAAGGCACTTTTACAGACTGTTTGTATGAAGGAAGACATTGCAATGGCAGGACATACAGGACGTAAGATTACAATACATGAGTATAGAACCCAGCTGTATGTGCAATATGTAAGCCCTTCCAAGCATAGGAGTGGGTACAATTTGCTGCTTCCCATCTCTGTGTTGTTGCAGAAAATCCTAGGTATATGTTACATGTTCTAGGAGGGAGGTATATACCAGAAATTTAAAATAGTTTGTTTCAAAGAGAACTGAAACTATTTGCCTGTATATAGCAGAGGGCTGATATTAGACGCGCATACAGTAGTGCAAGAATAAATATCGGGGGACGAGATCATGCACAGTTTCAATGTAACCCTTGAAAGCTTTGCTTGCTGTAGTTTGGTGTGGTCTTTACAGAAGGATGTACTTGAGGGAGAGGAGACCAGGCTGTATTTCATTGCTTTACGAAGTGTAGAGTCCTGCATTGTACTTTTGGAACTGGCTTTCCCCTTCGGTCTTTTACTGCAGAGAGCTCCTGTCAGGAGTACGCATTACATAAACTCTTCTGCTTTACACATCAGCAGTAGGAGGAGAAAGGAAATGATGTGGAAGTTCAGTCTTTAATATAGCACAATTCTCAGAGAGGCCAAGGTTGTTTGGTGTTTGAACACAAGATAGTATGACCGGTTAGAAAAGACTTAGTTGTTAGCTGTAGACATGTTTTTATGTGCTATTTATGATGTTAAACCTCTCAAGGGCTATGGTTTCAAACCTTAATCAGCCATGAACACCAAACAGGCAAACTCACACATAGGTGCACGCACAAACCAAGTGTGTAGTGAATAAGAACTATTACTTTGAAGTTGCGAGTTTTACCTCTCTCGTGCAAGGGATTTGATTTGGGTCCTGGTGGCTCTTGGTTAGGACAGATGAGATAAGAAGCTGGTCTAATCTGAAGACCTTGGTCCATTTTATTATATCAGAGCCCTCTGATCTTCAGGTGGCTGGCCCAGCTGGAAGTGTAGGAGAATAGCTTCAAGTTACACCATGCGCATTGCCCAGATGCAGTGGAGGAGCAGGTATAAAGTACTTCCACTGTGGAGGGGTGGGATCCCTCTCTGTCAAACCTACAGCAGTGGAGACCTGACCCTCTGGAGAGTTCTCCTGGGCATTTCTGATGCCTTTTCTGAGACTAACATTTGAAGATGGTTAATTGCAAATACGAATTTGGTGATTTGGTTGAAATGTGTCAAAGAAAAATAAATTCTGTCATAGGAGGGGGTGGAGAACTTTCCTGTGCCCTCCTTCTGGATTTCTGAAGTCCATTTATAGTAATACAGAAAAAGCTGTCTGTGTGGAAAAAACGAGAATGAACCATAGCTAAGACGTAATGAAAATGGGGCTGGTAAGTCAGTGTAATGGCTGGTGTCTGTCCTGCTGCAATACACATGGTAGTACTACCTGCTCCCCCCCGCCCCAGCTCATTTCTAGTTTCGTATGTAAGCACTAGAGAATACAAGTATAGAGAATGGAAAGTCATTACAAACCTTTTTACATGAGAGCGGGGAAAAGGAAATCATCTTTATGGGTATTCTTCAAACTGCAGGGATCTACTGGAGCAAGGGCAAGTCTTGTGGCCAAACTCTAAAATCCTTCCACGGTGTAGACTTCCATGAAAACCAAGGAGGATTTGGCCTGGGATTTAGTCTTGCAGAAATACGTGTGAATAACTTAATTTCTAATTAGTAAGTCTGTTAGGTCTTGAGATTCATTTCTAGATTCAGAGGCTGACTGGGAACTGCTGGAGCCTCCTTCAGTGAAAAAGGAAAAAAAAAAAAAAAGGAAGCTTTGTATATTTCTTTCTAAGAACATATAAAATATACTGCCTTCTATTTATAAAATAAAACCACCCCTCCAGCTGTGTATCTAATCGGTAAACATGGCAACCCATGTGGCATGACTGATTAATATACCCCTCAGACATAGGGAGTAGCATCAGGAAAGGCAACATGCATTACTCAGCACTTGCTATCCTGCCAAAGCCTTGAGGTATTTTCTACGTGATGGATTCCTGTTGCAGCCAGTGGGAGTTCTTGCATTGCTTTACGAAGTTTAAAAAAATACAACCCACACACGCACAAGAAGATTTCTCCACAGTCTTGAGACTGATACTCTGCTTGGCCTCAAAATTAAGTAACGTGTGCTTCCCCATTGGTGTGCCTGGATCTTATCTTCAAACGTGAGAGTAAATGAATGTGGCGGCCACTCACCCCTTGGCCTTTTCCCTGTTGCTGCTACTAAAACCAACGGTAGTTTTTGTAATTGGGAAGCTTAATAGCATACCTGATCCAGTGGTAACAACTTTCTGGGAGTATTAACCTGAGATAGATGCAAGTCAGTCCCCTTGGCAGCTGCTATGGCTTTGTTCTCTGCCTGTGTACGTACATGTGCCCCTGTTCACTAAGAGCATGTGGGTGTATGCGTGTGTGTGAATAATGAGGTACTAGGTATTTAGAACATTAAAGCCTTTCTATGTTTTTTATTTTAAAAAACAGTTAACAAGAAAAATCTGTGTCTCTATTGGTGTCCAGGAGCAGCAAAATATCATGATTACTATTCCCATTCCCCAGCCATTCCCAGCTCCCCTTTCCCCCTAATTTTTCCTGTTACTCTTTCTTGTCTACTTTGAAACTTCTTTCATGTTCAGGAATTGGCCTAGGGTCTGATTGCCTGCTAAAGTCTAATCCCAGCTTTTCTGTATTCAGAAACTGATGCCAGATGTTCTTTAGGCTTTTTTCCCCCCTCCCTTTCCTCCCTTAGGGACTCGTGGCCCGTAGAACCAGGAATCATATAGGGGAGGGATGGCTCAGGGGTCTGGATGCAAACTCTGGAGACTTGAGTTTGATTTTCACTGCCATGGGTTTCCTGAATCGTCTGTGGCAGGTCAGTGAGGCCAAGGATCCTCAGCAGATGTATGTATCTATAGAGCTGTAAGGCTCTAGGTTCTGGGCTTTTTGTGTCTCCCGTGTCTATATGCCATAGGGTCACCTCAGGCAGGGAGCATGAAGGATTGCAAGGTGATCATTTCATATGGTAACAAGGGCCATAAGGATCTTAGACACAAAGGGTAAGGCTGTAGGTAAGGGTGAAATTGTAAGTATTAACCATGTGGATTTCTGTTTTAGGTGCGTTCCCTTCAAGCCACATTTGGAGAATTTGAATCCATGATGAAAATTGCTCAGCAGAAGCAGGAGGTTACTGAGAAGGCTGTTAAACAAGGGGAGAGTGAAATAAATCGGATCAGTGAAGTGCTTCAGAAGCTGCAAAATGAAATTTTGAAAGACTTGTCTGATGGCATCCACATGGTGAAGGATGCAAGGGAACGAGACTTCACATCTCTGGAAAACACAGTGGAAGAGAGACTAACAGAGCTAACCAAGTCTATAAATGATAACATTGCTGTATTCACTGAAGTCCAGCAAAGGAGCCAAGATGAAATCAACAATATGAAAGTAAAGGTTGATTCACTAGAAGAGGCAGATGTGTATAAACATGAAATTAAGGTGCTAAAAGATGCTTTTGGTGAGATGCAAGCATCCATGAAAACCAAAGAAAAGGACATAGAGACCTTGAAGAGTACAATAGACTCCATGGAGTCTGATGTGTATACTGAAGTGAAAGAGCTAGTCAACCTCAAACAAGAACATGAGAAATTCAAAGAGGCTGCGGACACTGAACACCTTTCCTTAAAAGCTTTACAAGAGAAAGTTCTGAGAGCTGAGGATTCTATTATGCAGCTCCCTAGTGACATTAAAAGACTCGATGAAGATTTACTGCAAGTTAAAGCCGACCTCAACAAATGGGAAGAAAATGAACTCTTCAGAAAAGCATTAGAAACTTTTGGGAAGAACAGTGAAGGACTGGAGTCTCGATTGAGGCACATAGAAGACAGCCTGGAGTCTCTAACTTCTGTTGCTGCTCAAAACAGTGAAAAGTTGCAATCTTTCCTTTCTAAGGAGGCAGAATACGAGAATAAGCTCAGTGCCCTAGAACAAAGCGTTACTGCTCTTCAGGGGATCTCAGATATGGACGTAACTTCAGTCACAGATGTTCTGAAAAATCTTGGTGAATCACAGACCTCGCTGTACAATGATGTGGAAAACTTGAGGAGAAGCATCAGTGACCTGCCATCCTCCGGTGCTCTTCAGGATGTCCAGAAGCAAATTAGTATTTTGTTGGATCAAGCAAATCTTCAGACAGATCAAGCACATGCTCAAGGTTATCTTGAAAAATTTTCTTCTGTGGAAGGCTCTGTAGATGAACTGAGATCTTCTGTCAGCCAGGTTGATTCCGATTTGAAAATGATAAGAACTGCAGTGGATAGTTTAGTCTCCTACTCAGTGAAAATTGAAAATAATGAGAACAACTTGGAGTCTGTGAAGAGCTCAATAGATGACCTGAGGAATGATCTGGAAAGGTTGTTTGTCAAAGTAGAAAAAATACATGAAAAAGTTTAGGCAGCGGTGCTCCTTGTGCAATGGATTAAGGAGAATAGCTTTTGTATGCCCAGTTTTTTACTCTTTTTAAAAGCAATTTGATACCTCCAAAGAGAATAAGAATACTTTAATAATAGAGACAGTTCTGCTTATTTCCTTTATTTCTCTTTTGTGTAGCGTTTTTGTTGGGTTTGTTTGTTTGTTTGTTTGTTTTAAATTTGTTTTAAGAAATCATGAGTTTAGTTGGGGGTTGAGTTTCTAAGGGCTCATCTTCTCTATAAAGTTGTACCGCTGTAACTGTAGTGGTGTAACTAAGGCACTACAGCCTCGTTAGCATGGGCACATATTTAACGGCATGAAGGTGTTTCACACTATGACACTAGATATCCCACACAGAAGGGCTACAGCTGTTCTGGTAGGAAAAGCATACTGCTGTACACACTGGGAATTTTACTGGTATGTTTTGGTTTAAGGAACAAATGAACAAAACTACACCCCTATCTTAAACTGTTTAGACCAGTAAACTTAAGTGTGGACCAGGTTTGAAGCAACTCATCCGTTTCTGCAGTTTGGGACTCAGCCGCGTGGTCAGTTTACCAGGTGTCAGTTGAGCTGTAGCATATTTCTGTGAGTCCTTAGTCTGTACCAGGGAGCTAACAAGGGGTTAGCTGAACCCCCCGAAGGGAAGGTTTGAGGTAAGTGGCGCTGCTTGGGGCTAAGACCTAAGAGAGGTGTTCCACCACGTGGCTGGAGAGATTCCTTCTTTGTGATCACAGGCTTCCTTCCCAGCATCTTCGGCTGCTGGTGCAGACGATCAGTGCTTAGAAGGGACATCTGAAGGATGGGATTAGTTTCAAGAGAGTACAGTAACATTTTTGTCATATTTTTGGGCTGTTTACATGATGAGGCTGTGTCTTTCCTGGAAAGGCCTAATTTGTATGTGATACAGGATTTTCTGTAAAAATGATCATGAAGTTGAATGAGGAAAGAGAAGGACTAAAATTGCACCTCCTGAGTTCCATGTATAGGAAGCATGCTAACGATAATAGTACACTCCAAAACACACAAGGGGGAAAATCACCATGAAATCAGCAGAATTGCTTCTAAGGCATATACATTTCCAAGTTTTCACACAGCTGACAGTGACCTGAACTCTTGTTACACATTCAGGACTTGGTGCCTGATTCTTGTCACCATTGTTGTCACCGGGTGCCTCCCTAGGGCATTGGTAGCAAAGGATCCTTCTAGGAACTGGTTGAGAGTGAGGAAAAAGTGTCATAATTCTCTAGATGCTCATTTAAAAATCACTTCCTCATGGAACTTGCTTGGTTTTCGGTCTTTTTGGAAAGGATTTCTAATATTCCTCCTTTTCAAGTTTACTTTTGAACTTTATCCAAAGATTTGGTAAAGGGATCTGCACACGGATACCTTGGAAATAGGTTGTGCGCATCATGCCCACCCCAGCCTGCACTAGCCAGATCCGTGGCTACCTTAGAAGAAGATTTCCTAGAAACAGCACCTCCCAGAAGTGGTGTGCTTGTGGGAACAGCGCAGGCGAAAAGGAGTTCTCCTCGGTAAAAAAGATACTGAACCATATCTAGTGTTGTTCCCGCTGTACATAGGAAAGAATTGCTGGCAAAGAAAGAGGGACCCACGGCATTAAGGTAACTTGTCACTGTTGGAACTGCACTGTTCTTTGTTGACTTCTCAAGTTCTTGAACAATGTTGTTTAGGTTACTGTGAAATGAACTGTATGGCTTATTTGCGGTATTTTTAATACATAATAAACATTTGGAATATTCTTTGCACCTTTTTTTGATTGCTGCTTACTTGACGTTGTGTGTCTCAGGATGCTTCCAGTGGGGTACAGGAAAGGGCTTGGAGGAAGAGCCAGATGTGACGCAGCCCTATACTTGTTCTCAGCTTTCACGGGGGATTGTGGAGGAAGTCCTATCTGTTATGGTTACAGAGGAACTCTTGAAAACAGGATTTCAGCCAGTTCAGTGCAGTGGTATTGACCAGAGTGCACAGAAGTCTGAGATGTGAGGTGTGAAATAGGTGATTTGTGCAATGAATGAACGCCATGTCAGCCACCATCAGCAATGCCTTGGTAAGACTTTCTGAATGCACAAAGCATGTAGAACAGAAATAACGTACAGAAAGAACCTACATAATCTTTCCAAAGTGGCTGCTTCTTTTGGATAGCTTTGAACACTGGATTACGAGGCCCATACACTGATACCATCTTCATGAAGGATGCCTGGCTTTCAAAACTTTGGGAAAGGGTGATTTCATTTTGATTGCCTGCAAAGATGATCCCAAGCTTGCCATATAAGCAGCTTTGGAATGGTGAGAGCCAAATCTTGTTTCCCCTGTACTGCTTATAGTGTTTGTAAAGGAGTGTGGGCATCGTCATGTCCTGGCAGTTCCTGAGGCCAAATTCACAGAGATGGGTAATATCTGTTATTAGACTACCTGTATGTTCAACAAAACAGGTGAGGTGAGCATACAAGCCCTTCCATCTAGAAGAGATTTCACATAACTTGTTGACTAGGTTGACCTGAAGCTGGCGATGAGCACACAGTGGCTTTAAAGAGTAGTAGCAGCATGATGAGGGAACTTAAAGCTGCTGTAAAGCCAGCAGTGCAGCTAGGCCAAATTGGATTTCAAAGATTAAAGGAAAAATTACTAGTTACATTTCTAGTAACTTAAATTCTATGGCAAACTATTGAAATTACCTATTTCATTAAATAAGGATAATTCTCTGTAAATAATACAGCTGGAGGCAGGCACGATGGCAAGGATCCCTTGGTGGGCTGGAGGTTCAGCTTTTATGTTTGGCTTGACAGCTTCACTGAACACAAACACTTCGTAATTCCCTCATAAATGCTCACAGCGCACATCCAGTCCTGCTCTTTACCATTGTTTTTACACTTTCCAATAAAAGCAATGGAGAAGGTCTCCAGCAAGACATAGCCTATGTTGCCAATGTTCTTTTACATTATTGGTAGTTCATCAGTAACATGCTGCTACAGTAACAATTTTCAAGGGAAACTGTCCACCTGATTTATGAGGTATTGATCAAGCCGGTTCATTAACATTTGTCTTCATTTTCAGCTCTCGTCTTATAAATGGAGAAGCCATTAGGCTGAGGCACTGTGGACTTGGTCGCACTTGAAAGGGCTTGCCCAAATAGCTGCACCGGCAAGGGCGATGGAGATAAATCTTGTGCTGCTGCAGGGGCTTCTCCCAGTAGGGCTTCGACCACTGTCTCAGGTGAAATAGCTCATAACAGCAAGAAGAGTTTCTGGTGGCCTAAATGTGTATGTTAGAGGTTTTATTAAAGCACGGATCAGTGATTTAGTCTTTTTACCATCTTATTTGACGTAACTCAGCTGGTAGTGTAAACAAAGCTGCAAAGTTGTTAAACGACTACAGGAAAAAAGCTTTCTGAGATGTACAAACACCACAATAGCCTAAAAACACCTCGCGTGGGCCCTCCATTCTACTCGGTGCTGCCAAGGGCAGTCTCTGTCCAGTTCGGGGCACTTCCAAGAAGGGTGTGGCTGAGCTGGAGAGACGCTTGCAGGGGAAAATGATGATGATCGGGGTAAAATGTTCTAGGAAAAAGAAATTGAACAAATGGGCCTGTTTAGACTTGAAAAACGGGGATGGGGGGCGGGGATTGAAGGGAAAAGAGGAATGAGAGAAATAACGAACAACCTTCAAACTACCTAAAAAGCCGTTCTTTAAAAAGAAGGAACCCATTCGCTCATGGCGGAGAGGGTGAGGTGCTACAGGCGGGGATGCCGCAGGTGAG